AGATTTTGAACATTTCTTCATGTGCTTGTTGGCCATCTGAATGTCTTCTTTGGTGAAGTGTCTGTTCATATCCTGTGCCCATTTTTCAATTGGGTTATTTACCTTTATCTTGTTGTGGTGCTCAAGTATTTTATAAACTCTGGATATAAATCCCTTATCTGATATGTCATTACCAAATACTTTTTCCCAGTCGGTGGCTTCCCTTTTTACCCTGTTGGAGAAGTTTTTTGATGTGCATGGGAATTTGATTCTTAGTGAGGGATTATTTTAAAAAAAAGAAAAACAACCAAAACACAATTAACAAACATTGTGCTGGTGGAGAACACTAGCCTGGAAGCCTAAAACTCAGATGTTACTCTAGGTCCACTCTGTGTGACCAGGATTCAGACAAATCCATTAGTGTTGCTGATTTGATTCTTAATTCACTGTGACCCTCCATGGCATTTCCAAGGCTGTAAACTGCAGTGGCAGGAGACGGCCCCATCTTTGTCTTTCAGTCAATGAAGGTTTTAAACTTCCAGAGATTCAGTCTTCTGCTTAGCATTGCCACATGCTATGGATTATGCTTATCAGAATTTCAGTTACTAATCTGTAAGTTGAGGACATATAACAGATGATTTAATTGTAAAGTCCCCTTATACCACAAGATCTTATAATGTATGGGACAGTAAAGAACAATGCCATCTAAAATATCAGTAATCCTAAAGTTGAAAAATCTTGACCTAGAATATCACTGCATCATTACGAGAAGTGAAATTTTGCCTCAGTATAAGCCTTGAGGAAGCAAGAGTGGCACCCACTTCCTAAACAACATGCCTCTGGAAACTCTATGAACTTTGAGAAATGACAATAGTTATACAAAGGCTTCAGGTCTTTTGCTCACAGGGTTGCTATGAGTTGTACTCTACTCAACGGCAATCAACAACAACAGTTACAACCATATAATCAAAAGCTAATGGTAATGAAGGAAGATGTTCGAGCTACACTGAAGGCACTGGCAAAAAATAAGCCCAGGGATCGATAGCTTACCAATGGAAATGTTTCAAAGAACAGATGCAGCCTTAGATATGCATATCAGTCGATGGCCAGGAAATTTGGAGGACAGTTGCTTGGCTGATTGATTGGAAGAAACCCATATTTATTCTCAATTCCAAGAAAGGTGATCCAACAGAATGTGGAAATTATCTATTAATATCACATACAAGCAAAATACTGCTGAAGATCATGCAAAAATGGGTACAACAGTACATAGATAGGGAACTTGCAGACGTTCAAGTTGGAGTTAGAAAAGGTCATGGAATCAGGAATCTCATTGCTGATGTCAGATGGATCACTGGCTGGAAGCAAAGAATACCAGAAGAATGTCTATTTGTGCTTTATTGACTATACAAAGGCATTTGACTGTGTGGATCAGAACAAGTTATGGTTAACATTGAGAAGAAAGGGAATTCCAGAATACTTGATTGTGCTTGTGTGAAAACTATACTTAGACCACAAGACTGCTATTCAGACAGAGCAAGGGAACACTGTTGTTGTTTGTTGCTATGTGCCATCGAGTCGCTTGCGACTCATAGCGACCCTATGTACAAGAGCTCTAAATGCTGTTCTATCCTGTGCCAACTTAGGCATCTCAAACGCACTTATTCCCACCGCTCCAGTCACAGAATCGATCCATCTCACCAAAGGTCTTCCTCTCCTTCGCTTCCCTTCCACTCTGCCAAACATGTTGTCCCTTTCCAAGGACCAGTCCCTCCTTGCAACATGCCCAAAATATGTCAGACAGAGCTTCAGAATCCTTGACTCCAGGGAACACTCTGGCTTCACCCTCTCCAGGACAAACCTGTTTGTTCTCCTAGCAGTCCATGGTATATTCAACACGCTTCTCCAGCACGACAGCTCAAAGGCATCAATCCTCTTTCTATCAGCCCTATTCACTGTCCAACTCTCTGATGCATAGCACATAATTGCGAAGACTATAGCCCGGATCAGGCGCACCTTAGTCTCCAGCCTGACATCGTTGCTCTTCAGTACTCTTGAGAGGCCCCTCACAGCCGACTTTCCCAATGCAATTTGTCTCCTGGTTTCCTGGCTGCTGTTACCAAGAGTGTCGACTGTGGAGCCGAGTAAATTAAACTGTTAACTATCTCAATCTCCTCACCATCCATGCTGATGCTGCCAATTGGCCCAGTGGTTAGAATCTTTGTTTTCTTGACATTTAGCTTCAGTCCATATAGGAGGCTGTAGTCCTTGATCTTCTGCAGCAAGTGCCTCAGGTCCTCCTCAGTTTCAGCAAGCAGGGTTGTGTCATCCGCATAACGCAGGTTGTTGATGATTCTTCCACCAATCCTGATGCCACATTCCTCTTTGTATAGCCCAGCATCTCGGATGATCTGTTCTGCATACAGATTGAAAAGGTATGGAGACAGAATACATCCCTGACAGACCCCCTTCTTGATTTTGAACCATGTGGTGTCTCCTTGCTCTGTTCTGACGACTGTCTCCTGGTCCAAGTATAGGTTTCGCATTAGCACAATCAAATGTTCTGGGATTCCCATTCTTCTTAGAGTCAGCCACAGCTTGTTGTGATCCACACAGTCAAAAGCATTTGCATAGTCAATGAAGCACAGATAGACATTCTTCTGGTATTCTTTGCTTTCTGCCAAGATCCATCTGACATTAGCTATAATATCCCTAGTACCATGACCTCTTCTAAATCCAGCCTGCACATCTGGCAGTTCTCTGTTGACATATTGTTCCAAATGTAATTGGATAATTTTCAGCAGAATCTTGCTTGCATGTGATATCAATGATATTGTTCGATAATTTCCACACTCTGTTGGGAAAGGCGTGTATCAGGTTTATATCCTTTCTCTCTATCTATTTAATCTGCACACGGAGGAAATGATTCAAGAAGTCAGACTCTATGAAGAAAATTGTGGTATCAGGATTGACCTTGAACTAGAGAGAGTAATATGTTACGTAGATTAGTACTTAACCCAAGAATAAAAGCCAACAACTTCCTTCAGACGGAAAGGCAGTTTTTAGAGAATTATCTCTGCTCTCCCAGATTTATCCCAGATAAAGTGTTTTGGATATTGCAACAAGTTTTTCTTATTGGCATGTGACTAGGGAAAGAACTCTTGTATTCATAACAGGAAGAGACTGCCTATCTTTTACTCTTGGCACAGTGGGTGGATTTGAACAACTGGAGAGGCGCTGCCCTCATGCTAGTAGCACAACTCCTCATGAACTATACCACCAAAACTCTCCAACCCCACAGGTATAGAAGTGAGTCTCCACAACCACAGGAATGGTTCAGGGTGTCAGGAGCCAGAGTCAGCCTATCAGGATAATTCTATCACATCTAACTTGTTTTGAAAATTCTGCATTTTTCCAAACTGCAAGATGTGAGCAAAAAGGTGTAATTGGAAGGGTGACATCATAGCACTAACAGCACTGCTGATACTGATCTGCTTTTCTGTCGCTGGTGGTATTAAGAGATTCTCTTTTAATGGCAAAATAACTGGCTTTGAGGAGTTCCATAGAATGCACCCGGAAGGTCTGTGTGCCAGTTTCTGCCTTTGAAGAGAAGGGTCCTGAGGGAAAGGCATGGGGAAGCTAGAGTAGACGACTTGTTTGATTAACATGGGCTGCATGTCCTCTCTGTGCCAGACCTTCTTTGCATGTGACTTGCTAGCACCTACCTGGCCACGCTGGTAGCACCCATGCCCCCTCAGCATTCAGCCTGCGTCAGCCCCCCAGACCCCCTCAGCACCATTGCTCCACTCAGCGCCCAGCCCCTCTTAGCTCCTAAACCCTCTAAACACCCAGCTCCCCTTAACATCAGGCCCCACTCAGTACCCACCCACCTTGGCACCCCAGTCCCACTAAATGTTGGCCCTCCTTGACACCCCGGTCTCCCTTAGCACCTGGCCTCACTTAGCACCCTGGCCCCATCAGTACCCAGCTCCACTCAGCTCCAGAACCCCTCAGCACCCAGCCCCTTCAGCACTCAGCCCTCACAGCACCAAGTCCCATTCAGCATCCTGACACCCCCCCCCCAGCACCCTAACCCCACTTAACACTTAACACTCAGCCTCACTCAGCACGCAAGCTGCACTCAGCACCAGCCCACCTCTGGACTCAACCCCTCTCAGCACCGCAGTCTCACTCTCTTGAGCACCCCTGGCCAGCTCAGCACCTTGGCCTGCTAGTACCCCCGTCCAACTCCGGTGCGAAACCTCTGTACAGTCAGAGCGGACAAACCCTGACCTTCTATCTCCACAAATATTCCAAGTTCTACAAAAAGTGTTTGCTTCTCCATCTTATTAAGCATGCTGGCCTTTCCCTGCCATGTGATCTTCTGTTCTGTAAGAGGAAGCCCAAGGCCTAAAATGGGCTCTGGTCTGAGACTATTTTCTAATATATTTACTACTAATAAAGCTGCTACTTGACACCTCATTGATCAAAGGATCATGAAAAGACAAAAGGGGAGAGTGAACTGTTTAACACTTACCAGTCTAGACAATGCTCGAGAACCAGCATAGATCATACCCACAAACAGCAGTGAAGCGGGAAGCCAGGTCAGAACTTCAGATCTAGAAAGAGAAAAATGTGTCACAATATTCTTGTCACTTATGTATTAAAAAAAAAAAGCCCACCTAACTGAAAAGAGGGGTTCTTCAGGTGCATCAAGAACTGCAACACTTGTTAACAGTGGGGTGCCACTGAGTCAACTATGCCTCAAGGGGACCCCATGAACATCAGATCAAAACGTTACCCAAGCCAGGGCCATCTTCATGGTCTCTGATACGCCCCAGCCCACTGTCGGAGTCACTGTGTAAATTCATCTCATTGAGCGTCTTCCTTTCTTTCACTGACCCTCGACTTTGCTGGGTATGATGTCTTTTTCCAAGGACTGGACCCTCCAGACCACATGCTCAGGTCTGGGAGACAGAGTTTCACTGTTCTTGCCTCTAAGGAGTTTTCACTTCTTCCACATCACACGTGCTCGCTCTTTGGCAGCCCATGGCAGCCAGTACTCTTCTGAAGCAGCCACAGCACGATGGTTACCTAAAACTCACGAGTGTCTTCCGAAGGCAGACGTTGGCTTACCTTATGATCCATCATTTGCAGTCCTAATACTCATCCAAAATACATGACAATGTATGTGCACACATGTGTTTATACCCACTTTAAATGTATTTGGAAAAACTGACATAACCAAGATGCATGTAAAACAGTATTCAAAAAAAAAAACAAACCACAACACAACACCACCACAAAACCAAACAAAAAGATGCTCTTCCATAGGCAACCAGATAAACTGAATCATATTCCTCTCTCTCTCTCTCTCTCTTTCCCTCTCTCACTCCCTCTCTCTCTCTCCCCTCCCCTCTCTCTTGTTGCTATCAAGTCAGAATTGACTCATAGCTGCCCCTGAACTGGGTTTGGGTAGCTGTACATCATGTAAGAGTAGATGGCTCATCTGTCTCCCTCAGAAGCTGCTGGTGTATTTGCACCACCCAGAGAGGCACGGGTTTTGGGTTAGAAGTGGAACTCCCTATGGACTACATTAGCAGACTGCCCTCGTGCCCACGGAGTGGGTTATTACTCAGTGATAAAAAGAAATGAGCCACAAAGAGACATGGAGGAGACTCCAATGCATAGTATGAAAAAGTTACATGCTATATGAGTCCTATTATGTGGTGTTCAGGAAAAGACTAGCTACAAAGGCAGTGAGAAGTTGCTGGAAAGGGGAGGTGGGAGGTGAATAGATGGAGCATAGGGATTTCAGGGCAGTGAAACTATGCTGTGCAATGCTATAATGGTGGACTGTACAACTGAAAGTATAAACCCCAATGGATACTGTTGTACTCTGTAGTTAACAATGTATCAATACTGCAGTTAATAATGTATCCTCAACTACAACAAATGTATCACTAGAATGCAAACTGTTGATAGAAGAAATTGTGTGCAGGGGAAAAAAGATGTAAGGAAGCACTCTGTATTTTCTCTTTAACTCTTCTATTGTCTTAAAAGCACTCTAAAAAACGTTATTTTTAAAAAATCACCACCTAGACTATTATGGAGATTGATTTTGGAATTTAGATGCACTCTTATTGATTGTGCTTGGCCGTACATGTTCATATCCTTGAAGATGTATCAT